GCCATATTTACTAGCTTTCCAGGGTCACAGGTGGCCTATAGGTTGTCGGTTGGATACATTTGCACCAGAACCAAAACAACAATAATACAATCATATACACTAAAACCTAACACAACATGTACATATGGCACAATTGATCCCAGAAGTAGTAATTGATCCCAGAAGTAAATGCCTGGTGCTGAGAAACACACAGATTCATGTTCCAAGCTGCCTGGAAAACTAAATTCTTAGGAGTGTCTAGGAGGCTATAAATAAAGGTAACTATCAGTAAGAACTTACATACTCCAGAAATAGCATTCCTCACATCCCCAGCCAATATAGGTAGTCCTCAATTTACAACCGTTCATTTACTGATTGTTCAAAGTTACAATGGCACTGTAACCATTTTTCACACTTACAACCATTGCAGCATTCGGATGCTTGGCGACTTACTCATACTTACGACAGTTTCAGTATCTCGTGGTCATGTGATCCCCTTTGGCGACCTTCTGACAAAGACCGGGGAGGGGGGGAATCCAGACTCACGTAACAACCGTGTTACTAACTTAACAACTGCAGTGATTCACTTAACAACTGTGGTAAGAAAGGTTGTAAAATGGGGCAAAACTCACTTACCAACTGTCTTTGCTTGTGGGCTCAATCGTGGTCATAAGGTGAGGACTACCTGTAGATTACTGAAGATGTTATCTACCAGTTCCCAAGGGAATGCAGTCAGTCAGCTGAGATTCTTGTAAAATAGGTGTTCAATAATAAAGAAACTACATTGGATTACTCATGGAGTTGTTTGGGTTCTTTGCACTTCACATTAGGAAATAATGCCCTAATTTACAAAGTTACTGCAAGGACTACATGATATCCTGTAGAAAGTGCTTTAAGCCCCTAAGGGCTATGTAGTCCATCTTATTTGACAGAACTTTGCTACCTTAGCTTATCTTGAAAAAAAGCTAAATAGGCTTGGATCTGGTTAGTGCAATGTTCTCAACCTTGGCAACTTTTAAGACTTCAACTCCCAGAATTCCCCAGCCAACTCTGGGGAAACCACCAGGAAATTCACATAATAAGCACGAGTTAAGGTGTTTTCACCTTATTAATTATCTGTCTTATTTTAAAAGGTATGTTTGAAAGCAAAATGGTCAATTGAAAGAGTCCATTGGATTGAGATGGGTGGCTATAGAACAATTTATTGAACAAATAAATAAATAAAATACATAATGGACAGCGATAGGCATTCGCAAACATGGATTTCAAACCTTTTATTAAACAGATGGGAATCCATAATAAGAACATGCTTGAAGAACACGCAATCCAAATTCAGTCTCTTGAAAGCAAGGTGGAAAATAGGTATAGGTTGTATTGCAAAAGCTCCATATATGTTATGTTTTATTGCAGCTTTCTCCAAGCACATGCCATCTATATGCACTGAGCTACAACACCACAATTCCGAGCAATTGACCATTTGGTTAATGAGGTTCTTCTCCACCTTGGGGAATGCCGTTAAAACAGTATTAAAATATGGAGATCTATGAATTAGAAAGGATTATTATTGACCCTATAAAAAAAATAAGGGTGTCCCTGCGGATTTTACTCCACTAGTGGTTACTGAGTATGTGGGGGGGAGTATTTACTCTGTTTCAAGCCCATTGAGCCAACGGTGTCTGAAGACATTTCTGTGATCACATGGCCAGCATTACATCACAGAGTGCTGTTACCTTCCCATCGAAGTGGTACCTATTTATCTACTTGCATTTGCATGCTGTTGTACTGCTAGGCTGGCAGGAGCTTGGGTGAGGACGGGAGCTCACCCCATAGTGTGGCAATCAGGTCTCGAACCTGGGCTGCTGAGTTTCCAGTTGACAAGCCCAGCATCTTAACTGCTGAGTCACTGCACCCCCATTATTGATCTTATAATCTCAACACATTACTTCACTATTGGTCTGAAAATCTCTCTGATGGCGGAAGTGGCTTCATAGATCACACACACACACACAGTTTTTCCACAAAATTCAATGATGCACAGAGAACTCTGTCCAGAAGAAATAGCAACAAAAGAATGATTCCATCAATGATTCAAAAAATTGGGCCCATTGGACATTGACAAACAAACCGGAAACTATCTCTCAGAACGAGTTCCACATGAAATCCCTATTGAATTGTGTAGTCTGCAAGTGTTCACATTACGCCCATGCTGAAACATGAGAATGAGGTCACTTATAAGAGCAGTGCTGTTGTAATTAATTTAACTACTGGCACTTCACTTACAAGCCCGGCTATTTAATGAGATAATAATTCAGATGCTTAATTTGCTGGGAGTTGAAATGTGGTGTCGTGCTACTTAATTGGATGTGTCCAAAAGCATCCAAATGATTAAAAGGAGATGAGCAGAAATATTGAGATACCTTCAGGATATCAACAAGTTCATTTACAGCAGTTCTTCTAACCTAGTTTTAAAAGTTCACTGTTTTCAGGGGGAAGATAAGATCTTAAAGATATTTAATGCAGCAGGTATTTGCAGATATTAACCAAATCTGGAGATATAAATAGTACATTAACACTGGAATAGTTGAGGGTCTCCTGGATTTTTTTCTTCTTACAGTTTAAATAATGCACTCAGAATCTGAAACAGTTCTAGGATTAGAAAAATACTGTCTTCTAACTAGTCACAACTGGGGTGGAACACTTTTAAATGTACTTTTGCTGCTACAGCTGCATAAGATCAGAAATTTGTTTGGAAAGATTATCATTAATAAGATTCAGAGAGCTCATCTGAAAAAAATGTACTCTCATCTTTCCCTGACTCTTTCAAAAGTATTATTCAGAGGATCCTAAGATTTAGGATCATGTGGTGTGCACATATATTTGTCTCGGTATGTACGGGCCATCTCTATGTTTGCCCACATGGCAAAGGTAGATAACATGGTGTGTATGTGTAGGTGTGTAGACAAACATAGTTTATATCCACTGTATGCAAAATTACCATTATTAGTGTCCAACCAGCTGGTAGCCCCTGGCTAAGCAGGATTAGGTCTGGTTAACACTTGGATGGGACAAGCCAAAGTGTCCTCTTGGAGTGGGGAGATGGGGCTAGGGGGGCAATGAATTGTGTTTTGTTTGTTGTATTTTTTAGGATGTGATTTTTTCAAGGGGGGGATGCCTGTCAGCTTTGAAAGCCATACTGAGATCAGATGCTCCCACATTGCCACATTTTGAGCCTGGGAAAATGGGAGGGGGGGAAATTCTTGGAGTGTATGAAGTTAGACATAACATTCTTTTTCTAATTCAAGGTCATGTTAGTTTACGCATAAATGAGGGGCAGTCTCCAGTTGGGACGGATGGTGATTGGGGCAGGTGATGTGATGATGGGTGCAGGGGATGGATTTGTAGTTTTTGCTTATCGCAAGGAAGCCCGGAACTTTCAGATTCAGGATTCCTCAGATGTGCCAATTAAAACAGAACTTTTGAGAAGATGTCTATCTCCGAGTTATTTGTTGGAGTGGAGATTTTCTGGAACACTGACAATACCATTGAAAATACTAATGCTGTAAACTAGATTGGGAAGTAAAAAATGAAATAAAAAATCCCAAGAGAGATGGCAAACCACTTCCATGTTGTTGCCAAGAGAACTAGACAGCCATGTTCATCAAATTACCGGAAGTCAAGCTGACTCAAATAAGACTTTCATTTTGCCCAGCTAAGTAACTGATTTCAAAAATGAAATAGAGTAAGACCTGGACAGACCATGGTTAGGAAACCACCAGGAAATCCCAAGACGGCTAGACCAGAAATTGCAAAGACATTTTGGAAGAGGGCAACAACAAAACATTTCCTTATTTTTGCCAAGAAAATTACATGAAGATGTTCATGAAGTCAGGAGTTGAACATGACTCATGTGGAGACTTTATTCTGAATCTTGGTTCTGAATGGTTACAACAGAGTAGGTGATTTCTAACTGTATTTGCTCTTCTTACCCAGAGCAAAGTATCCATAAATGGTCACTACAGTACTGATGAAATTCAATCCCACTCAATCTAGCTACAATCTTGTGACATAAAACAAACAAAAAACCCCAATATTCTGAATCGATAGCCTATATTCTACCTGTCTTTTCTTAGGGAGGCTATTTCTAACAGTCACCCCAAAGATCCTTTTTCTCCTTCCATGTAACAGCTGGACAATTTGTTGGTCTAAATATAATGCTGTTGGTTTATCTTGCACTGGGTGCCACATATTCAATACCCCCATCTGTCCAGATCAATTCTACTTAGGCAAGGAAACTAATTAAATAACATTGAGAGCCACTTTGGTATAGCGGTTAAGGTGCTGGCCTAGAAATAGGGAGACATTGAGTTTTAGTTCTGCCTTAGGCATGAAAGCCAACTGGGTGATTTTGGGCCAATCATCAGGAGACTGTGAGTTCTAGTCCCACCTTAGTCATGAAAGACAACTTGTTAACTTTGGGCCAGGTGCTCTGTCTTAGTCCAACCCAACGCACAGGGTTATTGTTGTGGGGAAAATAAGAGGGAGGAGTATTGTGTGTATGTCGAATTATTTAGAAAAATAATAAAGGCAGGATTAAAAACAAACAAATAAATAAAATATATAAGAAGGGCAAGGTGACATGCAGAATTCTTCAAAACCTAACATTTCTTGGCCTCAAGTTAGTGGAATGTATATAAACTATAGCATGCTATAGGGACAGCCACATTTATCCATTTAACTGCTTAGAATCTGAATAGCAAAAGAGAAAGAGACCTGGTGTCAAACGAATGCAACTAAAACTGAGCAAAAGAAAGGCCTTTGACACAATCCCCGAGAAGTTTTTGTGCCTTTATTCTGCAATCTTGACGGCAAATTTGGGCAGAATGGTGATGGTTCCTCCTCCACCCCTTCCCTTTTTCCTCTAACACATCACATTATGCTTAGAGCAGAAAGGAAATGTGTCATCTTTGTGGTTTAGTTTTCTAAATGGAGAACTAAACCCCGTGTTTCAGACGCACATTCACTTTTAATATATAAAAACAACTCCAACATCCAGGCGGTGCCACGGTAAAACAGAGAAAAAATATCTCTGGGTTAGATTATCACCAATTTGCACAACAATACTTTCTGCTGGTGTCTCCTTCAGGTAAGTCTGCATTACTTTTGACATGACAGCAGTGTTCCAATATTTCGGGGTGGGTGGGTGGGGGGCTGCCACAAAGAAGGGAGGGGCAGCCTATTCTTCCGAAGCACCAGAAGGCAGAAGAAAAAGCAATGGGTGGAAACTAATCAAGGACGGAACCAACCTGGAACTAAGGAGAAATTTCCTGACAGAACAATTAAGTGGAATGACTTTCCTCCAGAAGTTGTGGATGCTCCAACACTGGAGGTTTTGAAGAAGAGATTGGTCAACCATTTGTCTGGAATGCATGGGGTCTCGTGCTTCAGCAGGGGGTTGGACTAGACGACCTCCAAGTTCCCTTCCAACTCTGTTGTTCTGTATTCTGTTATGTTTCCTTCTATACCTTTTAACTTGCTCTGTACCGTGGCTTACAGTACAAAAGAACCGAAAGTCTCCTACTGAGGTTGGCTTGGACTCAATGCAGGAAGCTTGTGGAAAAAAGAAAACAGGGCATGCTCCTAATTGTATCTTAAAGGTTATTAACACAGGAAAAGAGGGAGGGAGGGACAGAGAAAAATGCTTGGAAATTGGAAAGCTATCAGGAACCCGTCAAAGTAACTAGGGCAAACCCAACAAAACATTTTCTCAACAAAACAGACATGCAGTCAGAGGGAGCTTCAGTGGATGAGGGGTTCTGCCTTGGCTTTTGTCTGCTTAGGGTGAAATTCTGAACTCTACTATCAAGCACCACAATTAACAGTGGGAGCTTTGTGCTGGCAGTGGCAGTACTATACACAGACAGCTCTGTAATGATCAAGGCATGGTAAGGTTAGACATCTGCAGATGCTCTCAGTACCATGTTAATGATCCAACATCTTTGCAGCTCAGGGCTGGAGAGAAAAAAAATCAGCCACCCCAAATTGGAGTTAACTCAGTGGCAAACGTATACCAATTTATCACATGGTGTTATTCTGCTCCTCCTTGTGATATACAAATGGGATGGGGTTTTAGGTGGGGTAGGGAGGAAAAATAGCAAGGCTTCTACATGCTTTGACTGTATAAAACCTCACATTTAGTCCACAGTATCTTCATCTTGAAGAGCATTTAAAGAAGGTCTAATACTAGCCACCTCATCCAATCTTTTGAGACTTCTAGCATTTGCCCAGAATTTCGATCAGCAGGATTATGGGTGGTAAGAGAGACTGGAAAACCATTTGTGTGAAATGGTACAGGGTTTCCTGCTTGATCGGAGGGTTGGACTAGAAGATCTCTGAGGTCCCTTCCAACTCTATTATTCTGTAGGGTGAGCACTTTAATTCATCTTCTCTGGTCTTTAGGAATGAACTTCTGTAGAAACGCTTTTCAATGCATAGGGAGAAACAGTCACAACATTTATTCCAATTTTATCAAAACCTAAGACACAACAAATAATCTCCATCCACTTTCCTCCCCAATATCTGCAATGACTGAAAGCTAGAATTTGAATTGTGTACAATCAAATCTTACATCTTGTGCTATTTGCGTAGATCTTCCTTCGCTTCAAAACATATAGAAATGTTCATTCAGTTCTGAATTGTCAGGGTCAAGAAGACAGAAATGTATTAAGCTTGGGGAATTCTTGGTGAAAGCCACTGTTTCCCAGTCTCAAATCAGGATGAACTTCAATCTGTTCTAGACAGCAACAGTCCCTACCTTTTAACTTTCTCTATAAACATGTAAATTAAACATACCGCAGGCTACTATGTGATTTATACATGCTTATAGTAAAAGGTTATCTTCAGAGATTGTTATAAATCTAAACCCAGTTCTATCATTTTGTCTTTTTTGCAGGTGACAAGATACCTCATAAATATGAGGCTGTTGGATCACATAGGCTTAGGATTTCTTCTGGGGATCATCCTTCCACCCTGCTCACAAGTAAGAGTGACGGCTGATTTGATGACAATTACATATTCTGCTCCTACTTCTCAGCCTTCAACATATCCAAAATCAAATCCCAGTCTTGTGACACTGGAATCACAGGAGACAACCGCTGACACAACATACACTTCCACTTCCGAATCTATTGCCACTGTCAGATCCAAACAACTAACAGAGACACCCACCTCTACAGCCCTACAATTATCTTCAACACTTCCAACAGAGGGGCTGCCTTCTTCCTCTGCTCTTGCTAGTACAGATCCTGAGCTCTCAACTCTTGGGGGCGATCCAACTAAAAACAAACCCTGTGAAGAAAATTACAAACAACAAATGCTGATTTTCCTGATCATAATTGGGGTGCTTGCATTCATTTGCGTGGTCCTGCTCTTGGTCATCGTTGTTACGGCAAGCAAACTGTCTTACGACAAGAGAAAACAGCCTAACAAGCGTTTTCCGAGGAGTAATGGTGATTTTCTAAGTACCAACAGCCTGTGGCCAATTGGATTGGAGACACTACAGAGGTTATCCACCGAGAGCCCAAAGCCCCGAGGCCTAAGCCTGGAGAGACCAATAGAAGGGCAAGGACAAAATGGGGATGAAATCAACAAAAAGCTGGTTAGTGAAATAGCAGATCGACAGAAGCAGAAGGAGATATCAGCAAACACATGCAAAACAATCATTACCACTGTTGAAATTTAAGCCTCACTTAAGACTTCTTATTTGGGAGAGAAGAAGAGGCATGGAAAAATCTGTGGGTAGTTATACTAGTTCCTGGGTGCTGGTAATTTTTCAGGTATTATACATAGTAAGATAGCATCATCTCAACCCTGTCAGGGACCATGTTAACATCAGAGGCCAAATCATCTTCACTACTACTACTCAAGGATGAGGATGGTTTCATTTCAACCAAAGTCTGACATGCAGGAAGAGAGCAAACTGGGGAAAACAGAGCAAATGGTTCCCAGCTCTATTTACACCTAACCAGAAGTATGGCTGAAAAGGCGAGACCAGCTTTATAAATACAGTCTTAAATATGCAGATGTTCATTCTTCCTCCGTTGCTAATGAAAGCTGGACCTCAGAGATGCTGCAAGCATACCTATCCACCACTATTCGCCTCACCTTAGCAGCATGGACACCAATTGGACTAGGAGACAAAATGCCTCCCTTACCTGTTCTTGCATGAAATTCTGGGAGGCAGATTAAGCCTTTGTGTTGTTTATCAGAGCCCTGCGGGGTCACTGGGTCCTTTCCTGGCCAACTTCTCCAAAACCTTTGTGGGAGGACATGATTTCAACTCCTTATGATCTCCGTCTGTTGAACTGAACGCATACGTTCCAAGCAAGGAAGCAAGCCTTTCCAAATCAATCTCACCTTCTCCTTTGTCCTGTCTGTTGCTTAGAGAGAAACTTGAGCAGGACTAGTAAAAATGCACAATGGAGTTGCCTTGACACAGGCCAACTGAAAATTTGATTTGCATCTACATAATAAACTAAACTTGTTTTGTTTTAATTTTAGATTATTCTTGTAGCTTAGAGCAGTGCTTCTCAACCTGGCTGGCTGAGGAATTTTGAGAGATGAAGTCCACCCATCTTCAAGTGGTCATAGTTGAGAAACACTGACTTAGAAGGTTATGTCATCCCATCACCTGGGTTTATGATTTTGTCTCTGTTGGGATTCCGAAAGCTAATTCTTTCTGTAAACCGGTTAAATGTACTATTTAAGCAGAGCTACTTTTTCCCTAAGGTAAGAAAACTACAGATCTCTCTCCTCAACCACACCCATCATCATAGCCTTATTACAGTAAAATATGTATGCAGTTTCTAAGTCCTTTGAGAATAATTTGAAATCGGGAAACTCTATGGAGACTTGCATATACAAAGAAAGGACCTAATAAGTCCTTCCACATATATAACGTTACACTAACCCTTTCAGCAGCAGTTATTTTACAAGACACTCTGGAAAAGTCAACAAACTAAAACTACTAATTGCTAGTGTCTAATAAAATCCTTGATTTCTTCCAAACAGAAGCTCTCATGTTTAAACAGGTTCTTTCTTTTTTTAAAAAAAATTTCTTCATTTATGAATCCTAGGGATAAAATTTTTCCTCTAGGATAGGAGCTAAGCATAGATCTAAGCAGGATACACATTGCTAATAATTCCAAAGGGACCTAAAGTAATTATTAATGGTGAAAATGAATTTGGAATGGGGAGGATTGGAAAAAATAAACTCCTCCATTTCACGAATTTTCTTTCCCCCTAGAAACCAAGAATAAACCTTTCCAAATATGGGCAATGCAAAACATCCAGCATCTGTCCAGAATACTTCATTCAGTCTGTGTTGAACGGAATTTGGGAAGGGGGTGTCACAGGTGTCCCAGAATCTGCCTTTCGTTCTGCCAAGATTCAGGCAGCAGAGAAGACCCCACCCGATTGCCTCACTCCCACCTGCTTTTCAGTTTTCCATATTCAAAGTTTCTATTCTGAAGAGCAACAGAGATGATCAGGGAACTGAAGGCTAAAACGTAAGAAGAACGTTGCAGTAATGGGGTATGTCTAGTTGAATGAAAAGAAGGACTTAGGGTGACGTGAGATCAGTGTTCTATTATCTCAGGGGCTGCCACAAAGAAGAGGAAATCAAGCTATTCTCCAAAGCACCTGAGGGCAGGACAAGAAGCAAGGGATGGAAACTAATCTGGGAAAGAAGCAACCTAGGACTAAGGAGAAATTTCCTGACAGATAGAACTATTAATCAATGGAATGGATTACCTCCGGAAGTTGTGGGTGCTCCAACACCAGAGGTTTTTAAGAAGAGATTGGACAACCATTTATCTGAAATGGTATAAGGTTTCCTGCCTGAGCATGGGGTTGGACTAGAAGACCTCCAAGGTCCCTTCCAACTCTGTTTTTCTATGAAAGGATCCTTCTCCATTTGTGGCTGTGGAGAGTCCTTCCATAGCATGGTGATTACTTTGTTTGTTTAATGAAGACTGAAAATCCCAATTTCCCTAGATGAATCAATCAGGGGAGTCAACAACAATGAGTTCTCCCGGTTGTTTTGTCTCCAACTAAACAAAATTTTGCAGACTGGGAGAAGAGGGGACGCTTTTTTTGTAAGCACTGCAGCAGTTTCAGACAAGAGGCTCTCTTTACGAATGATGGAGTCAAATGCAAATAATCTATGGAGATGCTCAGTCATCCAGGCCTTGGTGCTCCCAGAGGTGGTTTTTTTTTTTTCAAAAGGTAACTGGATTTTCTTGTTTTTCTTGAAGGAAAACATTTTCAAGAAAAAAACAAAGTCCAGATGCCTTTTTGGGAAAAAAGCCCCTTTGGGACAGTCAAATGCAAAATCCTGAGGTTGGGCTAAAGTCCTTAGTAGTCCAACCTATTTTCCCTTGTTGTACTATGTTTCTTTGCTTCGAGAGAGGGAGAGGCAACACCTTTTGGTGACCATCTTTCAAATATTTGGGAGGAGACGAAGATGCAAAGTAGTTGGGAATACCTCACTTAATGAATGGAATCAACAGTGTCAATTTTATATTTCAGGTTTTCAGAAATATAAATGGAAACTGCCCAGATGTCTGAGTCATTCATCTGCGAAACTCAAACATGAAGGGCTTTTTATCTGGAAAACATAGCTAAGATTACTTTGGTATGATTTCCAAATCTAACTGGGGTTTCTTTCTGTTACTTCCTTCACCTAATGAGCAACCAGTCCTTTGAATGTACTTGGCACAGCAGACCACAATGTAAGAGAATTTCAACATGCTGCGCCATTGGGTGATGTCAGTTTTGGCCAATGTTTGAGAAAGCAGTTCAATTGTAGGTGATTTTTCTTGTTACAGATTACTCTTGTCATAATTTTTAAATTTGAAAGTCAGGCTTACCAGACCTTCCAAATTTCACAACGGATGGACAGACTTAACCATAGTTTCAGCAGAAAAACTATGACTATCCTAGACCAAAACGTGCTATAGAATTCCTGGAATTTTCTGGCACGCTGACAAATCGGCCATCAATAAGCATCCAGATATCAACAGCAACAACGTACCATTCAAAAGAGACTATCAACAAGCCAAAAAAGGAACAAAAAGACCAAAACACCCCCTACCATCAACAGTTAACACCCAGATGAGCACAGATTAACACCAAAATTTACCTCAGACCAACAGTCAAGAAGTAAATATTTCAATTTGCTAAATAAGCTAATAGTAAACAGGCTTTCAAGAAGAGATTGGACTACTATTTGTCAGAAATGGTGTGTAGTCTCCCGTTTGGGCGGGGGTTGGACTAGATGACCTATAAGGTCCCTTCCAACTCTGATTAGCTGTTATCTGGAAGATAGCAAAATAATCAAGATGTATATCAATATTAATGTTTAAAAGGCTAATCAAAGAACCCAAGGCCATTCCTACACCAACACTGACAGGGCAAACCCCACTCCCTACTAGCACTGATGATGTTACCTAGTTTGGGTAATGGAATATCTGTAAGAAAACAACCAAGCTCACCAAAGACCACGCACCACAAAAATCTGGACAACCTTAAGAAGGGAACAAGGAAGAACAGAAAAAACAACAACTCTGTTATTACTAGTTTCCACAGCCTCAGTCTTTGGCTGTCACTCTATAAAAGACAGATTTAATTCTGTCCATCTCACAGATGATAGACACTTGGGGTGGGGTAAAGTAAGTTTGTTAATGGACATATTTTGGGGAGCGTTCAGGGTTGGTTGGAGGATGGGCAGCTAAACGTTTCAAATAAATAAATAAATATTATAAAGCTTTAAGCAAGCATCACCTAGAGGAAGAACAGATGTTAGAAAAGCAGTTGGGGAGGGAAAGGTTTCAACAAAACTTGTCTTCTTAGTTTCAGAGAATCTGAAAGTTCTCCCCAAAGGGCGGATAACTGATGCAGCTGCCTCAACCCAGTTTTACTGAAATGCACGTACAGGATTTCCAAGTGTGTCTGTCGAAGGGCAGAGGATTCCAAGTTGAGGAGTAAACACCCTTTTCAGCTGCCTTGCAACGATTCCCAGCAATCTCATGTGTAACTGGGGAAGAAACATGTTTAAAAACCCAGGGAAACCACTGCTAGACAAGATGATGTAATCCTCCTGATGAGATGGACTACAACTTCTATCATTCCTAGCCAGCATGTTATTTCTGGAAAGATTGAAAAAAATGAGTTGAGTGGACCGGTGAATCTGACTTAGTAGAAGACACCTTTAAGTGTTTTTATGGTGGGACTGAAAGTACTGTGGGAAGGAATTTTATCAGCTCATTTCAGCCGGCCAGGATCTGTTTATGAAAAAAAATAAATCCAAAAATAGCTGGGATTAGAAATAGGATCTATGGTAGTCCCTTTAAAACAGCTGTTGTACAAAGGGAGCACCCAACAGAGGACATCCCAAGTCATGTGAAAGAAAGAAGTGGAGATGTAGACAAGACTCACACATGAAGCTAAAAAGTACATAGTATCTTCTAAGTAAACCAACCTGGAAATATAGAAAATCTTAGCTTGGAGGAACAGCTTCACCGGCCCATCCATTGACCACTATGATATTACCAGTTTTATCTTATCCAAAGCCTGCCTTGGTCCACATAGGGATGATCCCTATTTTCAAGAAGAAACCATTTGGGGAATATAATTGCCATGTAAGAATAACAGCCTTTCAAAGAGCACTCACTGTTCCTAATAGATATTCTTGCAGTTGGTGAACTTTCCCTTTATTTTATTCCAACGTGACTCATGAAGTTCCTGCCCAGTCCTGCAAGGAAGAATTCTTCTTGTTCATTTCTAATTTTCTTCCCATTCACTCAGTCATCTACTTCCACAAACGTGAGAGCCAGGATTCACATGGTTAGAAGCAAACAGCCTGATCTGGCCCCAAACAAGGCACAGATGGAGGCTGTTTTTCCTTTAAAAAAGAACCGATGCTAGTCTTTAACGTAAGAGTAGGTGGGAGAATGCAAACATATCAATGGACCACAGTATAAAGAGAACTCATATTTGAGGACCAGGAAATTTCTTATTAAGCAGTCTGGTCATTAAGGGAGACATCACGTGGCTGCAATTTGTGACCTTCCCTGCCGACTACCCTATTGATTTTTTCTATGAGAAGCCAGCTAAGAAAGTCACAAAAGGTAATCACAAAAAACCCAGGATGCTGCAACTATTGTCAATTCAAGCCAATTGCCAAGAACTCCAATTCTGATCATGTGGGAAACTGCAATGGTTAAGTGCTAGGGTTAGTCATAAATCACTGTTGCTGAATACCACTATAACTTTGAAAGGTCAATAAATGAATGATCGTAGGTAGAAAACCACTGATACAAAGTCATCTTTGGCATTCCCTCCTAATGGTTTCTCTGCTATTCTACAACAAATTAGAAATTCTTGGTACCATTATATGTCAGTTTACTGATTCTATTGTAGCTGCTAGCAGAAGCCTAACTCCAAAATCCAACCACTTACCTCTTTATGACCTTATCTTGAGATTACAACTTCTCCCATCTAGCTTAAGAGGAGTACCTAGTCCCTGGGTAGAGTCAAGCCATTTCTCTTCCACTAACACAATACTTTCCCAGCTTGTTCTCTCCTCAATTCTCTTGGGAATATACAACGTTGAAGCCAACAAGCTAATGTCAATGGGTGACTGAATGGGTATAACTTTTCATCGGAATGGAGTTAAATGAAAGCTTGCAACAAGCACTATCAGTATACACTCAAATCAGGAGAGCAAGGAAGCAGAGAAAAGTAAAAGAGCCTGAATTGAGGGGTCCTTGGCGCTCTCTGAGCTTGGTTCTTTTCTCGCAGACCTTTCATTACCCAAACTAAGTAACATCATCAGTGATAGCCCTGATGATGTTACCTAGTTTGGGTAATGAAAGGTCTGCGAGAAAAGAACCAAGCTCAGAGAGTACCAAGGACCCCTCGTTTCAAAGCTGAGCTACAAATATTCTCCTTTATTAGAGCCTGAATTGCATTTAAATGGCATGACAGCAACCACTCCCATTGGACAGGCTTTGCAGTGAAGAAT